TACCCAAAATCAGGCAAAGCAGGCAGATTGAGTTGCTCACAGAATCACAGATTCATTCAGAGATCTATCTATCTGCCATTGGCTAGCTCAGTCTGTCACATAAAATTTGCTTGCAAGCAAACTCACAAAATTAACTCACAACACACCATGCATGTAAATATTGAATTTTTTTGTAAAAGAGCAACTTTTACCCAAAATCAGGCAAAGCAGGCAGATTGAGTTGCTCACAGAATCATTCAGTGATCTATCTAACTGCCATTGGCTAGCTCAGTTTCTCAAATTTGCTTGCAAGCAAACCTTCAGTCCTAAGGGAGGTTCGGCTGTGCTGAGCTGAAGATCTAAAGACTAGCTAGAAAGCAAGAAATCCAACCATTTCCTGCTTCCTAGCTAATCTAAATCTCCCGGCACAGCAGAACAGATGATGGTCGGAAAAAGGAAAAATAGCAATTTAGTAGGCAAGTTTACCAGGTAAGGAGTGAGTGGGTGTGGAGGGTTCCTGCGGGCCATGTGGGTGGTGCAGTCTTGTGTTTCTGCGCAGCCTGGATTAATTGCTTTGTGGGGGTGTTCTGGGGGTGAGATTTCTCTGTGGCCCACCAAAATTTTCTCATGGCCCACCGGTTGGCAACCGCTGGACTAGATGACCTACAAGGGCCCTTCCAACTCTGTTATTCTAATCTAATCATCCGATGACCTCAACTTCTACCTCCTGCATGGTCTTTCCCAGCTCTGCCAGCCAATCAGATTTCTGGGATTTCTCACTTTGTAGTCCTCATCTTGTATCAAAATTTTTGCTTTCCCATTGTTTAGGGTCCCTCTTCTCCTGAGGTTGTGCTCCTTCTTTTGATCAAATTCATAACACAACTACATCCCATCCTTTTGGCAGCTTTGCGGGGCACAAAGGCATCGCAAGGATGCCTCATTCTGACTCCACATTGCTCTCCAACGCTCTGGAAAGCTCTGGAATCACTTCTGTGGCCTAAAATTGGTGTTCTTGAACTGGCTATTGATATTTATGGATCTGCAGCTGCCTTTCTGTGGTAGTCAAATGCAATTGTATAACTTGTTTATGTGATTTGGGGGTGGATGATTTGAGGGATTTAAGACTGTGGTTGGATTGCAGTGCATTTACAAAAGCCATGTTTGGACAATCAAAATGCTTGATTAGATTTGGTTTCCATATTCCATTTGAAACTTAATTTTGTTTCAAGCCAACTGATCTTTTCTGAAGAGTTCAGATGTAGGCGTTTGCATTTAAAAAAATAACAACATATAACTAGATTTATTTCTAAGCTTTGACTGTATTGTAACAAACATGAGTGTCTCTTGTTCACTTACTGATTTTCTTCTTACCTTTTCTTTCTGACTCTCCTAGCTTGTTTTGGTAGAGTTGCTGGGCTGGCTGCAGTGAGTCACAAATTACTTTAAATTGTACAGTTGATGCTGTGTAGCACAGCCGGTCTCTTCCTCTTATCCCCCACCTCATGTACACTCCTATCCTACACTCTCTTTTTGGTTGTCATGGGAACAGCAACCCATCATGTTAACTTTCTCTTTCTCCCTTCCTTCTTTCCTCCCCCACCCCTCTACCCAGAATCACTACCACGGCTGCTTGCATGATGGACTTAAGGAGATACCCCCTCGACCAGCAAAATTGCACTTTGGAAATTGAGAGCTGTGAGTACCAGCTTGGACTGGAATGGGCTCCCTAGTGAGTTTGAAGAGGAACATGGGGTGAGGGTGGGTGGGTGGGAAGATTCTTCTTTGCCTGCCTGCCTGCCTGCCTTTGACACTTACTCTGCCATGGGAAATCTCCTCCTCCTTTGCTCGCAGAATGCTATTTTGTCTCCTTTCCTGCTGAGTAGGACTAAGTGGGGTTCTGATGTGGGCATCTGTCAATTTTCTACAATCACACCTTTTAAAAGGGGGTGGGATTTCCTCCCATGGATTCGAAGCCAATCACCTTTGAGTCTTGTGTGTGTGTGTGTGTGTGTGTGTGTGTGTGTTATTGCAAAACGGAGGTGCTGGATAGTCTTCAGGGTGCAGAAAGTGCACACTTGCCCGGTGGCACAGAACACCCCCACCCACCCATCTTAATGACCTCTTGCAATTGGGAGGGAGACTTTTGCTGCTTACAGGAGGGGGGGGATGTTGGCTAGCTGCCATCCGGGCAAAGGAGTCCGTTATGGCTTTTCCACTTCCGGCTGGATACACTCGGCCTCCTGGGACCCGCCTGAAGCTTCGGCGGAGCGGAGAGCGCGAGCCTCCCGCATATCCTGGGCAGAGGTGGTATTCAGCAGGTTCTGACCAGTTCTGGAGAACTGGTAGTGGAAATTTTGAATAGCTAGGAGAACCGGCAAATACCACCTCTGATTGGCCCTGCCCCCATCTATTCTCTGCCTCCCGAGTCCCAGCTGATTGGCTGGGTCTTCTTTTATTGCCATGCACAGGAGAACAGAGCTGGAAAGCAGGTTGGTGGGGTGGGGAGGGAATGGAGATTTTACAGTATCCTTCCCCTGCCACGCCCATCACAGCATGCCAACCAAGCCATGCCCACAAAACCGGTAGTAAAAAAAATTGAATTCCACCACTAATCCTGGGGCTCAGGATCATTGCCACCGAGGAACTCGCCCTTCGCCACACTCCTCTTCCTCGGCCGCGGCTGCCAGGGCCTTCTAGCCGTTTCCCCCTTTCCCCGCTGGGCTCAGGAGGCAATGCTGAGGGTGAGGGCTTCTCTCTTTCGTCCCCCTCGTCCCAGGAGAGCCACATTCTGACATTGTGCCCACGAGTGAGGCGGCAGCGGGAGGCGCAGAAATCTGATGGCGCACCTTAAAGTGAGGCTCGCTGTCCTTGGTGAAAATGCGCTTGATGGCCGCTCCCCCACCAGGCGAACTACTGTAGTATCGGGCACAGCCGGCCTTGGAAGCTGGGACCACCCTGACTCGTGCGCTTCAGTCCGCACTTTGATGCAGGCGAGGCCGCCCAAGAGGCGGGGTGAAAAGGGAGCCAAATTCTTCTTGGGATTCCAGAGAACCAGGGCAGCTCTAACTGGGATGAGTGACCCTCCCGGTTGCGGAGTAAAGTGTGCGTGCCGGGAAGGCAAAGGAGGCAGCCCCTTACACACCCGTGTGCGGGGACATCCTGTAGTTGGATGTCATTAATTAGAATTTCCAAACCTTTCTCATCCTTCCCACTCATTTGAGTGGGGAAACCCCTGATCCCCCCCCCCCACTTTCATTTAGGAAGTGGAAGGTGCAATTCCTAGGGCTGGAGCAAGTTTAGAGGGCTGAGTTTGTCCTCTGCATTTGTTTATTTTGTGTGTGTTTGTGTGGAGGTGACTTGGAAGACAGCTTCCCCAAACCATTAAGGCTAAGATTTCCCAGGAAAGTATGAGAGTTGCAACAGCTTCTTCATGAGGAGAGAAATATGCTTTCATTTTGCAGAGGAATTTATGTTTACATTTGTGACAGCTATTAAGTCCTAGTAGCACTCATATAAATCAGCAATATGATGCTAACTTGTGGCCTGTGCGTCTGTGGCTCCCACATCCTCTGACTATTCAGAAATATGCTGCAGGCTTTGCATTGACTTTCCCTGTGCTCCACTTTTCTCCAGATGGCTACACAGTTGATGACATCGTTTTCTTTTGGCAAGGAAACAATTCAGCTGTGACAGGGATGGAGGTCCTTGAGCTGCCCCAGTTCACCATCATTGAGCAAAGACTTGTCACCAGAGAAGCAAAGTTTACCACAGGTGAGTTCCTCCTTCCTTCCCTCTCATACAATTACTCAGGGCATCAAGGCCTTGGTGTAAACACCAAGAGAATAATTAAGCACATGATGCAAAAACTTAGCTCCCTAGAATAGACTTCATAGTTGAGGAACAGCAAAGGGAACAGACTCTGTTACAGTGGCATTGGGCTCACGCTTGGATGTCCTGAAGACCAACAGGGAGAACATTGTGTGATGTGTAGGAGCAGAACATGACTTGATGGCACACAGTCCATCGGTCTTGGGCAGACATTTTCCATCGAAGCAGAAGGGAGCAGGTAATAACGGTGCCTAACTCTTCTCCCCATTTCTGATTGCATATGTTTCTCTCTCTGTTGGTCCTGCTTCATAGCATAGGTTCTCCTCTTGGATTTTGTCTGCTGTATTCCCTGAAAGCAGATACTGACCAATCAGCCATAGATACTTATTCACTTTCTCCTCCTCCCACAAAGATGTATGAAACACAATTCAAGACTTCAAAAGTAGCATAACCAGCACAGAGCACTGTGCAATGATCTTTGGATCCGAGATTTAAGGAAAGCATAGAGAAAAAGAAGGTGGAAAAATGAAAAAAAGGGGGGGGAGAAAGCTCAGGTAGGCATGTTGAGGAAGGGAAAGTAGTCACTGAAAAGAAGAAACTGTGGAAAGGAAGTATGGAAAGGAACTGGTGAGTTTTGTATCCAATTTATGATGCATGCTTTTATTTGTTCAGTCTCTATGTCTACCTGAATAACAATTTATATATATGACCTAATAGGTAGTCTTTATTCTGCATAAGCATTTCAAATTTTGTTTTTTGTTTTTTCTTAGAAGTTCTTCTTTGCTTTTGTGGTCACTTTTTATTGTTCCAGCAATTTGTGGGTACATCAAACGTGGCATATTCTCCAAGTAGTTATTCCTGTTTATATATTTTATTTATTTATTTATTTTGTCAAGCAATTATAAGATAACAGGTATAAGTATAAACATAGCTATGAATAAATGAAATGGATACATATAAGAAAAATAAAAAGAAACAATAGGACAGGGATGGTAGGCACGTTGGTGTGCTTATGCACACCCCCTACAGACCTCTTAGGAAAGGGGTGAGGTCAATAGTAGACAGTCTAAGGTTAAAGTTTTTGGGGTTTGGGGAATAAACTACAGAGTCAGGTAGAGTATTTCAGACATTGACAACTCTGTTGCTGAAGTCGTATTTCCTGCAATCAAGTTTGGTGCGGTTTACCTTGAGTTTGTATCTATTGTGTGGTCTTGTATTGTTATGGTTGAAGCTGAAGTATTCATTGACAGGTAGGACATTGCAATGTATAATTTTATCTACTATGCTTAGATCGGACCGAAGGCGGCATAGTTCTAGGTTTTCTAGATCTAGAATTTCAAGTCTGGTCGCATAAGGTATTCTGCAACGAGTAGAGGAATGGAGAACTCTTTTGTGAAATATTTCTGGACTTTCTCAACTGTATTAATATCAGATACATAATGTGGGTTCCAGACTGATGAGCTGTATTCAAGGATTGGTCTAGCAAATGTTTTGTATGCTCTAGTTAGATGTGTGATATTACCAGAGAAAAAGCTACGTAGGATTAGGTTAACAACTCTTAATGCCTTTTTGGCTATGTAGTTACTGTGGGCTCTAGCACTTAGATCATTAGAGATGAGTATTCCAAGATCCTTGACAGAGTTTGGATCATCAACAAGGTCTTGACTATTCAGCTTGTATTTTATTTTCTGATTTTTTTTGCCAATATGTAAGACAGAGCATTTATTTGTTGAAGTTGCCATTTGTTTGACCATTCTGATACATAGTCAAGGTCTTTTTGAAGGGTAGCAGTATTGTCTGTGGTATTGAATAGCTTTACATCATCAGTGAAAAGAACGCAGTTGCTCTTAATATGATCACAGAGGTCATTTATGTAGAGTATGAAGAGAGTTGGTCCTAGAACACTGCCTTGGAGACACCACTGTTGACAGGTGCAGAATTTGATTGGATGCTCCCAATTTTGACCATTTTTTGTCTGTTTGACAGGAATGTTTCTATCCAGTTATGCAGGTGTCCAGAGATACTGTAAGATTTTAGTTTTAGGAGTAGTTTGTCGTGTACCACTGAATCAAAGGCTTTACAGAAGTCTGTGTAGATTGCATCTATTGCTTGCCCTGATCGAGTTGTGTAGTCCATATGTTTTTGCAGTGTAAGAGTTGCAGATTACAGGATATGATATGATTATTATGATGATTTTTGTGTGGACGTATGTTGAGACAAAAATCAATCATGTTATGGTCACTGTTGGAAAAGGGTTCTTTAATTTGTATTCTGTAAATTGAATTCAAACTATTGCAGAAGATGAGATTGAGGCAGTTGTTGAGTCTAGTATTGTTGGTTACTATTTGTTCCAGTCCCATATTTGTTACAGCATTGTAGAAGATTGCATGTATGGGTTCAGTTTTGCATTCATTTAGGGTCCAGTTAATATGAGGTAGATTGAGGTCACCAAGAAAGATAAAAGCATATGGGCAGGATGTTGCCCATGTTAGTAATGAATTTAACTTGTTTACATGTTCGATATCATAATCAGGGGGTCTGTAACATAGTAAGAATTGAAATGTGATATTTAAGGACAGTTCACAGACGATGGTCTCCGGAAGGGCAAGCTCCTGGGTAACTTGGATGTTTTTTAGATGTAGGGACTTTTTATAGAAGATAGCAACACCACCTCCTCTATGGATTTCACGATCTGATCGGTAAACACGATAGTCTCTTACTGTGGTAATGGAGTCAGGGAGAGATGTGTTGAGCCATGTTTCACAGACAAATATGATGTCGAATTTAGCCGTATTTAGTAAGAGGAGAAATTCAGGTATTTTATTTACAAGGTTTCTTGCATTGAGTAGCTTGTATTTAAGGCCAGTTGTAGTTGGAATAGAGGTAGGTAGGGGCATGCATGCCTAGTTTTGAGTGATGGTGGATTGGATGAGGTAGGGTTGGATGCGGAGTTGTGTGTTGTGTGACTTTCTTTTGAAGCAATCAGCACAGTAGTCAATGTACAGGTCCTTTTCTTCATTGTCTAGACGTTTTTTGAATTCTGTGCGGAGAATATAATCTGCTCATGGTATCTTAGATAGCATTTTTATGAAGTATTATTTGGGGCCATATTTCTATTCTGAACTATCCAAATTTGTAACTTTTTTCATTTATTTCTAGAAGTATTTGTAGCACTGTGAGGGTTCTTTTCTAAAAATTGGACATACTACAATATATATGATTTCTGTAGAAAATAGTTCATTATAACACACACCTTTCCTGTTCCTCTGGGTTAACTTTGCTGGGCTTTGCAAGTTAGTATTGCTGCATAAATAAGTATTTGGTGATTAGTCCTTACTAGAATAGAATAGAATAGAATAGAATAGAATAGAATAGAATAGAATA